CTATAATGTTATATACAGCCCTGTGTATAGTATTATGAATCCAAAGGGGAGGGGGGGGGGGTGATCATCGTGTGTACTTTTATACATTTGAAATTTAAGCCGCTACTCATGTCAGAGTGGCCCCATCACGTCTACACGCAGATCAAGAACAGCATGACGTTTCAAGTTAATTTTAAACAGCGGGGCGATTTTTGACTTGTTGCTAACTCAAATAAAGGCCAGATTTAATCCTCGTTAAAGTCAATGAAACATTATGACAGAGTGGGTGATTCGGCGTCCATAAATCTAAACTAGCAACACTCTGATCATAAAATATCATCTTTTGCTGCCTTCTCCGAGCCACCATTTGAGTTTAGCTGAGCAGAATGACTGGAAGAGAAAAGTGAAGTTCAGCATAAACTCATTCATCTTTCGTGGTAAAGAGACCACTTTGTGTTTGTGTCGTAAAGTTCGTTATCCAACAATAAAGTAAAAAAAAGATAAGCACGAAGTTCGCGTGGATCTAAATAAAAGAACTGCGACTTAACCCGCACTTTTTATTCACTTCTCTATCCTATTTTGTTAGCTTGAAGCATTTACCAGCACACATATTCTACAGTAGAAACTCAAAAAAAGTTCTAATCTATCAAATAAAATCACATACCTGCCGTTAAGTCCTGAAACATTGCAGCCCGAAAAATCCTGAAGCGAAAAAGTGTCCGATGGGCAGCATTAAAAACATATAAATTAATCCACAGACACCGCTCTGTCCTTATGTTCACAGCTGTGTCCCAAACCCTCCGGTGTCCGCCGCCTCAGCTCCTCCGTGTTCCGTCAGCTCTTCTCTCCATGTGATGTAAACTGGAGCTCGGTTGGGGTGTGTGTGTGTGTGTGTGTGTGTGTGTGTGACCTCACTGGCATTTTTGTGGTCTCTCCCTTAACAACAGGTGTCTGGAGTTTTAAAGTGAAAAGGCTGAACCTTCCGGTCATTCCTTTCAAAATAAAGGCGTAACTTCAAACACCATATGTTCTATTCTTGTTTTATAAAAACTGCCACCGCTAGGGGCGCTGTGATGCCGGACAGGGAGGTCTATTTAATGAGTGACTTCACCTGACTCAGGCTCAGGTGCTGCGCTGAATTTTTGTTTCTATTTTTTATCAGAAAGCCTTGGGAAGAAGTAAGCTAAGTATTAAATTGAAGGTAAACAGTGTATAAATGAAACTTTTTTACCAGTGATGTGATGACTTTAAATGATAAATAGTTTGGACATTATGATAACAGTATGGTGATTTTAACATCATGATCACTTTGTGGTTACAAAACATGTAACAAGGTGCCTGGTGCTAAGCTCTCAGAAAAGCAAGAGTGATTAAACCTTTATTCTGAAAATAAAACTATCTATTCCAACTGATTTGACATTTTCTGACAAAACTATTTTTGAAATGCCATTCATAGGTCACTGGTTCTAAAATAAAGTAAACACTGAGTATAGGTTAATTGACTCCTTTGCTGATTACTGTATATGGTGTATATACAGGCATGCATGCAGGCAGCAAAGATTTCACTGACTTCGCCTGGATTGCTTACGTAAATGTACTTCTACAGCAAATCTGTATGGCAGACACATTCGGTTTGCACTAGTTTCCCATTTGCAATTTGTTTTTCTTGGATCAGGACGTTTTTTGGACATGGGACATTCCTTTGGGAGAGGCACACCACTCTGTGTCCTTTTAAAGGAGAAGAATGAGTGGGAACTGTGCTTGCAGGACACGGACAAGCTTTCTAAACGAATGCCTGGTGACTTTTAAAATCAGTACCCAGATTATATATTTGTATATAATTATATATTTAAAAGTAATAACTGTTTGGTTTTTTT